CTGTGTTACCTTTTGGGTACGGAACCTTAAAATCTTCTTTTTTATGTGAAAAAGTGGCAAACGAGCTGGCGGTTAACATGATGTTAAGTGATAACCGCCGCCCATGGACATTTGCAACACCCGTAGGATTGCAGATGCGTTGCCGCCTTTTAATAAAGTGGGCCCCGGCGTCTGGTGAGTGACACTCACCAGATGAAACGCAGAAGTATGACAATTCCACTCTACGCCGGTTCTGTGAGGTCGTGGTACTTACCCGGCTGGACCAGCCCATTCGTGCAACAGCGTACACTATTGCGTGGTCTTACCACAGTTTAAGTTCTTTTACCGTTCTCAATGATATGTGCATCATATGTTTTATTATACTAATATTTAACAATTAATGTTTAAAATGCTTTTTTAATTGTTCTGTCCGAATACAAAGGATTGTTTGTAATGACATTTATTCAATTAATACACTTAAAACCGAAAGTCAATCTGAGTACAATTTGTTAAACAAAAAAGATTATAGTGTCTGTTTTTGGAAAAATTACAGGAGGAGGTTTTTGGAAATGAAATTGGAAAGAAAATGTACATTAAATTAGTAATAGAATTCGTTGTCAATAGAGACAAAATTAAATAACTACAGAACACTTTAGGTGTAAATTGGTACTATTATATGTCAACTACATTACAAGTTTACCGTTTCATTTAGCACAAAGATGCCACCGGCAAACGATGTAGGTAGTGTTTGTTACCCAAGGTTTTAACCGCAAACATCTTTCCGCCGCCGTCGTCATGTCTCCACAAATATTTAACGTAAAAAACCTGAAAACCGCATCATTGCGACAATTCCGACGTTAATTTCGTTCCAAAGCGTTTATTTCGTTCGTTTATTTCGCGTTTAGATCGCATTAGTTTAATTTTAGCCTTCGAATCGTGCGGTTGGCGATAATTACGCGGTTAGCTCGGTGAATTTAGCCTAAATGCGGTTTATGGTGGGCGTAGACTTGCGATTAAAAGTCACAGGAAATATTAACTGTCTACTTAATTTAATCTGAGTAATAATGCAATCGGTGTAAGCAATTGTTGATATTTTTGACGTGGTACAAATTTCCATTGTACAAATCTTCGGAAAAATTTTATTCATAGAATTAATAGATTATTACCACCTAATTAAATTACCTTAATCGAATGATGTGGTTTTTACACACATTATGACAGGCCAGTGCCTGGGCGCTCACGTTTAATTTATTATACTCAAGCAAGCAGTTCAAAACCCGCTGACACCAATGAACCAGAACACCTAATCACCAACCAACCAGAATAACCTGACGTAATCTGTGGAACTTAAAAATAATTAAAAAAAGATACATGAAAAAGATATGGAAGATTGTGAAGTCTATCGATCTGCAGACCAGCCAAGTAGTGATCATTTTATATATACGCTGTTACTTACAAACTTAAAAAATGAAAAATAAACACTTTAAAAGCATGTTTAGTCGGCTTAATAATAGACAACGTAGAAACTGTGCTCATGCACACTCAATAATTCAAACTGTCCCGGAAACTATATTGTGTTTGTTGAGGATCCTCATGGTAGGCGTTTTCCCAGCTGTATTTAACCATAGCCATTAATAATAATGTAAAATGAGTTGCTAACAATAGTTTAAGTGGGAAGAATGAAAAGGAAGAGAAGAAGAAAAGAAGACATGATAAAAAACTAATTGTTTTTTTGGCAACTGTGTCAATCTACAACTATGCAATATTTTATACAGAAAATTTAAACTTTGTAGTAGATCACATAAAATCACCAATTTTATGGTGAGGGAAAAAAATATTACAACATCACTACAAAGTATAAAACAAAGTCGTCCCGCTTTTTGTCTGTCCTTTTGGCTGTTTGTCTGTCCCTATTTATGCTTAGATCTTTAAAACTACGCAACGGATCTTGATGCGGTTTTTTTACAAATAGAGTTATTCAAGAGGAAAGTTTATATGTATAACACATTGCACCCGTGCGAAGCCGAGGTGGGTCGCTAATAACGTATACCGTATAGGATAACTGCTTTTACATATAAAAAAATAAAAAACAAATTGAAAACCGAAAAATCTCCAAAACTACGTACTATATTAAGCAAGTTTAATAAAGAGCTACTTCAATAATCTTTATCGCTGAAAAAATTTCAAAACATCCTAAATGTCAAAGCTAGGTAAAAAATTCCTAAAAATAGCTGCTTAAAGACAATGTTATTAGGACATTAGCTTTCTCCGCTGTGCTTTAGTGCCTTTTATTTACCTTCAAGCAAATAGCTATAATTAATCATTAATTTATCAACACTAACGGCTATAATTTTGAGCGGTTAATAGACGCTCGTCTATCCCGCCCGTGGCCGTGAGTGAGAAATAAACAGTCTGTCGCGATGGAAGTAGCGAAACGACGACTCCGAGACGAATGCGCGTCCATTAATCACAATTAGAGACCGGCCGTTCGCCTGGCTTCAGTCCTGTCCAGCGCGATGAAAAATTCCCTTGTCGCGGTGACGTCACACTGGAGCTCGCGAAAGATCTGTCTCTTGATATAGCTGTGCATTAGCGAATAGTACAGTTATCGTTCTCGATAGACCATACAGTTAACCCCACACAGAAAGTCAGCAATGTTTGAAAAGTGATGAATCGTCCATTAACACTAAAAGCTTTTGAAACTTGTGTATATAACTTACACCAAAGATTCTTACACTATAGATTTAGATTTATATTATTCATTTGAACCCTAATCTTCTGCGTTACTGTAGCGTGTACTGACCAAATGTGTAGCTGGCATTTATTTAATTTAACCTTTATCGAAACACTTTAAATAAGGAAATGCAAAGGACGGACTTAATGATATTCTCTACAAGTCAATCCGGAGAGAGAGGAATAACCGTGACAGGTGCATTTAGAAAGTCAAACTTGGAATTTGAAGTAAAAATTTGAATAAATTTAATAATAACTAAACATATAATGATTCACATTCACAAATTATGTTCGCTAATACAAAATTTATAGCCCAGAATACAACATGTGAAATATTCATATTTTTATTTACTTAATTATATTGTTGTTGACGCTCCTTCCATCCGATGCAAGAAGTTCTCACAGAGTGAAGTGAAGAATCTACTTGTTGGATTCCAAACATCGGAAATGGAAGAACGGATAGAATTTGGTTGTTCTATCAGACTATTGTGTGTGTCGTCAAGGAAAAGGGGAATTAGGCTTTTACCACATATGACTAGTACAATTCACTATGGTAGTGCCACGCAACAGCAGAGGCTGTTGCACGAATGGACAGGCTCGTCGTGAAGTGGAAGTTATTATACTTTCGCGTTTCGTCTGGTGAGTGGGGTAACCCGGGTCCCCTTTTGTAAATGTTGTTAAGCTCTTAAATGCTGGAGATGTATTTGGGCGGTGGAATCCACTTAACGTCAGGTGTACCGCCTGCTCGCTTGACAACTTTTCAAAAAAAGAAGGAAAAAATGACTATCAAATCATGTACCACCAGGCAGGAAAGTATTCAAAGATCCGTAAGAAAAAAATTCTTATTAATTACTTAATTCGTTTATTTATATATACCTACATGTATATACACAATTCGACACGCACACAATCGGCGTTTATCACACAGACTCGATGTGAATCAACAATTAGTCGGCAGTCGCGGAGCGGTCAAAACGACAATTTGCAGTCCGGTGCCGCGCTGGTGTACAAGATCGATCGCCAGTTGGTAATTAGCCACGGATCAGTTAAGCACCCCTTCGCAGCTCATTTTTAACTGTCGACATTTTGACGGGTCGGCTGGGGCGGTCGTGTATATTTTAGCGACGGAAATGAACGGTGCGAACGGACTGGTTCGACGAATATCTGAGTTAATTAAGGAGATTTCATTATGGGAATATTTTATTAATACAAAAAAAAACAAACCTTAATTTTTAAGTCTGTGTCTGTAATGATTATTGTGAAATACTAATTTTTCATGTATGCCTGTCAGTTTATCATTATCGTTACCTATAATTTTATTGTATTTAATATAAAATAATACATTAAATTACTGTTTACGTTTTATGTACTTTTATTCCGAAGTTCCAATGGAAACCTACTGAGCAAACCCAATACTGTAATTTTATTACCCAATACAATATTTTTTTTAAATAAATCCATATTTGAATATTAATAATAATGGTGACTCTGGAAGTTGAATATAATATAGAAGAAAAATTGCTATAACAATTTCAGGAATCTTTAGCTGGCTAAACAATTAAGAGAATTTTTTACTATATTTTTCACCTTCCAGATTCCTTAGACTTCCAGAATAAAAACACTTCATTTTTAATCAACGTAGTAGATTAAAAATACTTTTTGTTGATTATCAGGCACATTTGATAGGCCTCTGATAAATAATCATGAAATACTCGAGTACATTTATGTGCGCTCACGATCAAATTTAAACTTTAATTGTTTGGAAACTAGGATCTTAATTACAGTGTTTTACTTTACAATGATTTAAAATAATGATTACACACCAAACCGCAATAAATTCCGTTTAGTGTAATTAGAACAGACTGCACGTGGTCAATGTGTCACAATGATGTTTAATTTTTTATTTCTGTGTATGTGTTTTGTATTAGGTACAAGTGAAAAAGTGCGTTATGACAATTACGCCCTTTACAACGTACAACCAAGAACTGAAGAACATTTAGCACTTTTAAGAGGCTTCCGTGACAACGCTTGGAAACTTGACTATTGGAGTGTACCGTCAAACCTAGGTTATAATGTTAGTATAGTGTCTCCACCACAACTAAGGGAAGACTTTGAACGAGAATTGGCTCGACACAACATTAGATATGATATAATAACACAAAATATTCAAGAGTAAGTAATTTAAAAACATATTCTTGACCTCATTGAAATTAAAGCTTAATATTTTTTCAAGTTTATGGATCAGTTTTATCTCCGAAAACCTTTTTAGCATCTTTTTCGTTATGAGAATGAACAGTAGGAAACACAAGTTGACTGTGGCAGGTCCACGCAGCAGCCTTTGCTGTGGCAAAAATAGACAGGCTACTCACGGCGCCTGCCACAGCCTCATTGTAGACCAGCGTGAGGTGGTGAGTGAGATACCGGGGAAAGTTGGTCCTTCTTTTAAAAGTCCTTGGGCTATCGCTTTAAAACACGTGAACTGACTTGCTACCTTCCCACATAAACAAGAGAATGGGGCAATGTCGCTCCGTCTCCTCCTACGCTCCGCTCCGAATTTGTGATTTATAAAAATCACGTTCGAAGACTCCGTTACATACATACATATATACATAAAAAGCATGTTAAAACATTAGGTTATTCATACTCTAACGTTTCTTAATATGATGTAAGGGTGCTCACTATAATAACGCTTTTAGGGCATTCGATGAACAAACACGAAAGAGAATTAAACGTAACAGCAATGATGAATTGTACTGGACCAATTATCAGACAATTGACGAAATTTACGAATGGTTCGAGTACCTATCAAGGACCTATCGTGACGTTGTGACAATTATTCAAAGTGGAAAATCTTTCGAAGGTACCAACGCTTACAATTTTATAATTGCTACTTGGAAATAACAATTTTCGTTTACGCTTAACAATTTAAGTACCTTGCTTTAGTAACGCATATGTTCAACAATAGACCGCCAATGGCTGGTAGAGTTGATTATTTTAAAATTTGACTAGTAAACATATACTTACTGACTTGGTTCATGCAATTTTACAGATTTAGTATTTAGAATTTGCTTGATTAATATTTTACTTGTGGTAGAGCCTTGCAGCAGCTTCTGCTGTCGAACGATTGGGCAGGCTCGTCCGCCTCACAGAAGACCAGCGTATAGTGTAAATATTATACTATAGCGTTTCTAATAGTAAGTGCGGCATGTCAGGGCCCACTTTTTTAATAGTTGGTGACGCTGCTAAATCCCAGATTTTTTAGACGTCCATAGGTGTCGATAAACACGTATAGTAACAAAAAATCAAAACCGACTTCAAGCATCTCACTCACTTTAACTTTTCTGTTTAATTTTCGAGGAGTTGTCCAAGGTCAGTCCAAGGTGACGTAATCAATGAAAGTAATATAAAACCAAATCGGAGCTAAACCGAACCCAATGCAAGAAGAGTTTTTAAAAACAATTCATAAATGTCGGAGTTCTGAGTTAACAATCATTAAAAATATACAACCAAATGGGGAACTTCTTTTTTTTTAAGATGGTTGAAACTAAAACTCGGACTATTCAAATGGAATCACTACAAGTAGATGTGGCCTAGTGCTTAATGTAACTTGCATACTGTGATTATAATATTGCGTGAGAGAGAGTAATAATGAACGAGATGAATGTACAAAGAGCAACAAATGTCTTGAAATTCGTTGGAATATTCAGGTGTTCTTGCGCCCAACTTACAATTAAATCCCGTTTGCTTGTAACTTGTTGTGATGTTCCTGCATAAGTTTCCTGTTTTCCATAGGCCGGAACATAACAGGTGTGAAGATCTCCAGGCGAGCCGGAAGGCGGGCCATTTTTATAGATGGAGGTCAAGTTGGCGCGGACTGGCTTTCGCCAACAGTCTTGACATATCTTATAAACCAGTTGGTGACAGGCGACGACCCGGAAGCGAGAGCAGCGTCTGAAGAATTCGAGTGGCACATCTTTCCAATTCTTAATCCGGATGGACACATGTTTACACAAAACTCTGTAAGCTTTACTACAGTTTTAAACGATAAACATAGAAATAGTTGAAAAAAAACTACGCAAGTTTGTGCGTACTGTTATTTGTTCTCCTTTAACACTGAAACGGGAAACTGATTGAATGAAAATTGAAACGACGATAGCTTTTAATGTTAATCATCATTTAAAAAATTATTTATCTTTTAAAGATTATCAATTTCATTTCGAAAAGAAGCGAGTGGTTGTAGCCGCGGGTATAAGTCACTTATCTTTTATATAATTTCAGTTATTTTTATCTATAATATTATTCAAAAACTCAATAAAAAGTTAAGAGTTTCAAGTTTTTTTTGATGAAATTCTGAATTGTTAACTTTACAAAAATGTATTAAATTACATTTTAGGTGCGACTTTGGATGAAAAATCGAAGACCTACTAGAGAATCGGCGATAGGAGTTGATCTGGCAAAGAATTGGAATTCTCAGTGGAGCGGTAATAAAATCTGGGATAAATAAAACCTCAACATTTTTCAGCGTCCGATCAGTCCAATATTTCAGATAATAACGAAAAATTTACTTATGTAAATAGAAGAAAAAAAAACGAAAAATTTAACGAAACCATTAGAATAGAAACCCAGTTCAAAGTCTCTTTCTCGTGACATACACACTACATATTTTCCAAACCGAGCAAAGCTCGGTCCTAATCGGGCGGCCCCCAAAACAGACGACCGGCGTCACGATCATTTACATTTATTTTTTTACTTTTTTTTCTATTATCATTGCTTTCTTCATTTTTAATTTTTTGTATTGCATATTTTTATTGATCATCATGAAATCTATGAAAAATAAATAATGAAATGATAGTAACCCGTCCCACGTTTGTCTAATAGCTTGCACGTGTTTGAAAGAGATAGAGAGAGCAACTTCTGATCAAAAAGAATGGTAGAGTCTGGCATCACGCCGCAAGCTGCGGGGTGATGTGAGTTAGAACATATCGTCACGTTAGAACATATCGTGCAGTACCTCTAGTACTTCTTTCTAAAAATATTAAAGTTACTGTAAAATGTTTCAGTGAGCGGGGGCAGTTTCAACCCAGAAGATAGTAATTACATTGGCGTGGGACCGTTCTCCGAACCAGAAACTCGATCCGTATCACGATACATAGAAACTATTGGGCCAAACCTTGCCGGCTTACTGTCCTTTAGAGCATTTGGACAAAGGCTTTTGATACCCTTCGCCCATAGCTCTGAACCGATGTATAACTATAACGATATGGTGAGGATAACATTAATTTATGATATTTTTATGAAATGCATAGCATGTGGTCAGACTGAAAATCATGAAATTGTTTTCGATAAGAAAGAAACTAATGATTTCTTTCCAATTTTTTTTAATTTACAGAACTATTTTTTTAGTTAATCCACTTCCAATACATAGTTACAGTAGTATTTACTAGTAATTATTTTTAGTGAAGCCGAAATGCTAAAAAAATATTTAATTTCAAATTTTTTCGTGGTTTCTTTATGTTTATTCATCGTGCATAATGTGCAAATAATGTGCCATATGTCAATAACTGAGGAAAAATTTGCATTCTGTGAAATGGTTTTGTTTAAAAATGTAAAAAAAAAATAAAATAAACAAAAGGTACCAGAAAGTCAGTTTCTCTCAAGTAAGTATTAAACTGTGCAATGTTTATTTCGTTACAGATAACAATTGGAAGACGTGCCATGGGTTCATTAGCTGTCAAATACAATACTCAATACCTTGTAGGTACTTCCAGAGATGTGCATGGTAAGTTCTTAAGATGACCAAGATAACATAGAAGAGCAACATTGGAATTTTGTTTTATATGATAGCGTTTAATTACTCGTAGATAAAGTAATTAAGTGTCTTCATATAGAACATAAATAAAAATGGATGACTCGGTGGCGCCGTTGTTAGGCTATTAGTTTTGGCATCGGTTGTCATGGGGTCGATTTCCAAACGGGAGAAGTATTTTTGTGACCCAAAGATAATTGTTCCGGATCTGGGTGTTTGTTTCCCAAGGAGGGTTGACGTCAGACAGGCGGCCGGTCGTAAAAAAATGGCAAAAATACTTAAATTATTCGCGTGTTGTGCCGACCCATAATTATTGGTAAATTAAAGTTCTTCTCTAGTTCCACTACAGTTATTTTATACGTGTATAATGTTAGATATGTTTTAAAGTAAATTTGCGGCAAATAATTATATTATAAGTTATCGTGTGATAATTGTCTGAAATTATGATGATGATAATCGACATTATCATCATCATTTCAGCCTGTTTGAGTCCAATACTGAACATAGTCCTCCCCCACAAATACCACGAAGCAGGTTCCGGAGCCCCCTTCATCCACTGACTTCCCGCATACTTGCACAGGTCGTCACTCAATCTTGTGGGGGTTGTTGTGCAATACGAGGTTGCCAGTCGGGCAACTTTGTTCGACCTACATGGCCAGCCCATTGCCATCAACTAACTTAACTACTACTTATTATATTTTAAATACTATGCACCATTTCAGATGGTTCAACGGGCACTATTGCTGACTGGACGAAACACCGTTTCAATCCTCCAGTTGTGGCGACCTATCAACTGCGGGATACTATATGGGGCTACACATTGCCAGTCAATCAAGTACTTCCTTCGTGCGAAGAAACATTTGATTCTGTAATGGCTATATTAAGGGAAGCTAAATTCATTAACGTGCTGTAAACATGGTTGTTCAATAGCTATAATGTTTAATAAAGAATCTTATTGTCAGTTAAATCAGATTTATTATTGGAGACCGATGTTTATAATCAGATGAATGTACAAAGAATAACGAGCATCCTGAGAAATCTCGTTAACTTGGAATGTTCTGGTCGTCTTTCATCCGATTTACAATTAAAACTCGTCTGTTTGTATCTTATTAAAACATATGTAATACTATGACGCTATGATTTCATAATTTTTGAAGGTAATATTTTTATGATATTGCTGTCAAGTTTATGAGCCTTTCAAGGTATTCCTTTTATACTTAAACATTACAATTGCTTATATATTTTTCGGTAATATATAGATAAGATTTTCTAAGAAGTCATATAGATAATCATATCAAATAATTTAGGTTATATATTATATATTGATAACTGGATTTTTTCATTTCGCGATTATTCTTAATTTTCTTGTTAATATAATAAATAAAAAGTTTAATTGAGTCATCCACATTTATCTCATTAAGACAAGACATAAATATCTTGCCCGTTTAAAATGGTTTCATAATTTTCAAATTTATTGATAAAGTGATTATAAATGCTGCCACATCTTCAAACTTGTTAGAAGTAGAAAATGCGATAAGGTTTTGTAAAACCGTGCTAGTAATCATAAGATATTGTTATCATATTATGTTCTTCGATATGTTACAACAAGGTTGAAGGAATTTTTTTTTATTTAATAGATTGATACATCAATATGCAGTAATTCCATTTAATGCACTTAATAAGTTAAATAGTTGGTGGTAAATACTTTCTTTATAGGTATATACTGTTTGCACTTTACCACTAACATAAATATCAGATCAGCACATATACAAACTTTGAAATAAGATTAATACAAAATTATTAACAATAGATTATTATTAGCTTCATGTTCAAATTTTACAAGCTTGTTTTATTTAGAAGGTACCTACCTAAATTAAGTTGGTGAACGTTTATGTTTAAGACTTACAACGTCTAGTTAGAGAAAAGGTGGAATATAATTATATATCATGGAGATTTTCATTCAATACTAGCAATACTACTATTGTTTCACATAAAATGGCTTAGTTTAAATAAAATAATCGCACATTTTACTTGTGGCCATAATTAACTGAATTCCCACAAGAGAAAATAAAGAATTTAATGATTGCTAAACAAAAATTAATTTGTCATTGTTTACCTGAGATGCAATTAATGAAAACAAATTTATCGTTTCCAGAACGTGAAACCAATTTCGAAAGGGGTGAAATTTTGTGCAAATAAAACTGTCGATGAAACGGTACTGTACTTAGGTTAAGTCAAAGTGCATGGCTTAAGCTGTAAGGCTAAATAATATATACTGGCTCGAGTCCTGGAAAATGGCCAAGATTTGAAAACAGTTTATAGACAGAACGACGATAAAAGCGAAAAGTATATCAAGTAGATTTTGTAACCCAAATCCGTTGCACGATATTGAAGAAAGTTTTTAATTAAATAAACTATTTGAATGCTTTATTTGATAAATTTTGTAATTTCATCCGTTTTATCGTCATGTCACATTTTGTTATTTTAATTTTAATTTTAGACACTTCAGGCCAGTAGATATATTATTAACTTATTCCTAGAACCAAAGAAAATATTAGTAAAAATAAAAAGTATAAATGACCTTTACGACACCGCCTAAAAACAATAATTAATCACTGTTATCTTTTATCGTAATACGTTCGTACAAACTGATATCGTATTCAGTCTTAACACTTGTTTTAAGTAATTTAGTCACGTTAATCGCAAGTGCATCATCGAAGCTATGAAAATTTTGTGTTTATATATTTCAATTTTGCTCATTGGATTCGCAATATGTGAGAAAGTTCGCTTTGATAATTACACCCTGTATAAAATATTCCCACAAAATGAAAAGCACATCGGATACCTTCAAGACTTACAAAATTCTGAAATAAAATATGATTTTTGGAAAGATCCTACGAATTTAGCGGAGTATGTGAGCGTTTTGTCAAGCCCTCAAGATAAGAACCAGTTGGAAAGTTTCCTGAATAAAACTGACATAAAATTTGTTATTACAATACCGAATATTCAAGAGTAAGTATGTTCTTCTAGAGAAAAGTAACATAAATTTATTTATGAACTATTTGGAAGAATACTTTGTATTTACGTACTAAAAGTTACATTGTAATAGTCAATGATTGTTTAAATTTACCAAAAAATAACGCACGAAAATTTTCATCGTTGAATTTCTACGTCTTCTTTCTCTTACCCTTGTACCACCTTAGGTGGGGTTGGCACAAAATGTCCTTCTTCCCTCCATTATCAGCTGTCAATCCAATACTATTCAAAACCTTTCACACATACCTTTTTCGGTGTCCCTCTAGCGATATACCCTCTGACATATTCCTTTATGAACATGATATTTGACATTTAATAGATATTTGTCACCTCGCCACCTGCCAGGGCGTATAATATCATAACTTCGGTCTCTACTCTAAGCAGAACAAAGATTAGAGTTATCCACAGTCTTGAGTTTAAATACACAAGTTTCCGTGGTTTAATGTCCGAGTTACGTTCTTTAGGCTAATCGACCGTGAAAAGGTTGCCACTTACACGAGGAGTGACTTAAGAAGTATGACATGGAACACGTACTACAAAATGGAAGACATCAATGCGTGGTTGGACGATTTAGTTTCGAGGTACCCGAGCATCGTCACCCCCATCGTGGGAGGCACGACGATCGAGGGTCGTGAAATCAAGGGAATAAAGATTTCACACGGGTCTGGAAGAAAGGCGGTATTTGTTGAAGGCGGCATTCACGCCCGGGAATGGATTTCGATAGCCACCGTGTGTTACATAACAAACGAATTGCTAACGAACAACGACGCGGAGACTAGGGCGGCAGCCGTCGATTTCGATTGGTACATATTCCCCGTAACGAACCCGGATGGATATATTTTTAGTCACGAAGTGGTAAGAATTTATAGTTGATTGTAAATATTTGAGATAATAATTATGACGGGAAAAATAATAAGTGATTAAATAACGCAAAAATGTAATTCCATATACGTATAATAAATGTTGTACTATAAAATATATCATATACTCTATATTAAAAATTGACCGACGATAGATTAAATGTACGTTTCTTACTTCAATGAATAAATGATTTGATTTGACTTCTATATCATATATATGATATTATTAAGCTCGTATTTAAAATAAATCAGCTTTAAAATAAATCAGATGAAGCAACAATAATTATAATTAAATGGAGAAAATATTAAATGCTTATAAAATATTTACATTTGATCACGTCCAATAAAAAAACAACAGTTCATATCAAAAGGTAAAGGTTAATAAAAAAACTATGATATTTATTATTACAGAACAGAATGTGGCGGAAGAACCGCCGGCCTATCGGGAACCAATTCGGTGTTGATTTAAATCGGAATTGGAATAACAACTGGCTGGGTAAATTACTTTTACTGAAATTTATAGCTGAAATGATTTTCTATAAAGTGAAATTCTATAAAGATAATATTGATACATAAACTAATTGGAAGCTATTTTAGGCATATATTAGTGAAATAAAGCTATTTTATGCATTTTATTTCATTAAATTATAAAAGCGATAACAATAGTTTTATATGACAATGTTGGACGGTCATAAAATTAAAAATACAGATTGGTTGACTAAGAAATGAGTTTATTCGTGTATTGTTGTTGTATGTCTAGACAATGTTTATAGAATTTTTTTGTATTTTAGTCGCTGGTTCCAGCAGCAATCCTGCAGCAGACAACTACGCTGGGATCGGGCCTTTCTCAGAGCCCGAGTCGAGAACTCTTTCTACTTATATGAGAGGAATAGGCGATAAAATAGACTTGTACCTTTCGTTTCATTCTTTCGGCCACCTTCTATTATTGCCTTTTGGAAACACAACTCAACCTATTGCAAATTATCACGACGCTGTAAGTTGATTTCCGTTCGGTTTTTATTAATCCATTCACATTCCTAATTTGATCATGGTAGGAGCAATAATTTGATGACCTGTGAAAATGTGCGGAAAGTCGACGATCTCAGGATCGTGCAAGTCAGTGGGGGAGCATTGGACTAAACGGGCTGAACAGCTGATGATGAGGTGCCACAAAATTTAATAATGTTTTCTTAAAGGTCACATAGACTTGAAAACGTGGACAGATCATTAAAAATGATTCGATCTCCAAACATTAAATGCTTTTTCTTGTAGTTTTATTTTCTGTGGTTGAAACCGTTACAGTGTCTTATTTGCGTTGACTGGTTACAGATGAACATTGGAAGACGAGCAATGGGAGCGTTATCTGTTCGTTACGGAACTAAGTATGTCACTGGGAACATTGCTGAAGCTATTTGTAAGTATTTCTTGTCTTAATTATTGAGTGTAATTTTTGACAACTCAAATATAAAAATATGTATTAGTATTTTAATAGAGTATTGACCGTTTACTCAACTGCTGGACTGGGTGTATTGTTCAACATGTCGACTATTGGAAGTGGTCACTGGAGAGATCCATATATTCCATCAGGTGCACCCATTGCTCATTCGCAATCCCTTAAAGAAAACGAAATGGAAAACATAAATTAACACTTAAGTTAAAAAAAAATAACTGTAGAAGGGCCACGTAACAGTCTACGAGAAAGTACCACGAACTCACAGAAGACCAGCCTGAAGTGGAAGCGTTATACTTCCGCGTTTCATCTGGTGATTGGGGCAAGCATGGCCCAATGCCAACGCATCTGCAACCCTAAGGGTGATGCAAATTGATTGTCAATGATCGGCGGTTAACATTTAATATCAGATGATGATTCACCTGATTTTAAGTGCTCGTAAGTCACACAAAAAAATCCAAGTCTAAATGTCACTTGGATAAAGATATTGACGTCGTTTGCAGATCTTGCGACTGGCGGTAGCATTGATTGGGTGAAAGAGCACCTCAACGTACCTCTGGTGTATTGCTACGAGTTGCGAGACAACGGTACTCACGGATTCCTGCTGCCAGCAGAACAAATTCTTCCTAACAGCCAAGAGGTCATGGACTCAGTTATAGACTTGATCCACCAAGCGAAACGATTCGGCTACATGAGCGGCGCGCCCGATCTGAAAGCTTCATTTTTGATTGTCGTGGCCTTAATATCATCATTAATATTTTAAGATATGAGTGTTACGTTCTTACATAACTTTTAATTTTTAAGTTTTAAGGTTTCATCACTAAATTAAATAACTAATATTATAATAATTTATTAGACCAATGTGATGCTCTGAAATGAAAATTTGTATTATTTTATTCAGAAATGTTTTTTAACCAATGTAATAATAAAATGAAATCTAACATTGAAAAAAGATGATAGTATATATAGCCAAAACAAATTTGCATTTATATAAAAATAAACATTCACTCACAATAAACGTTCCAAGAAAATGGACAGATAAAACACTTTCCACCAGTTCCTCTCCGTGAAACCTCTGGTAGAACAGGAATGCTCCCAGCTTTATGATGCCACGATGAAAATTTCATCATAATACTACAGCCTTGACTTTTTTATGCATATCCAATTTTTAAGCACAACAGGCTTTGTGTGTATGGTTTCAATGTTATGTCTCACACAGGCTAGTTTATATAATAAGTATGAACTTGTAATGTCATATATTAAGTTTTAATCAGCCTCTCTCAATAAAAAAATTAGTTAGAAAGTTGGTCTATGGTAATAATAACCATTACATTCTTCCATTAGAAAAATTATAAATAACAATTTATAAATATGAAAATTTGTAACGAGCTACGTATAATAAAATAGCTACGTATAAATAAATAAAGCGCTAACGGCCACTTTTACGATTAAAGTTCTGAGGGGTTCTATTGACTAAAGCTGCTGCAAAACACCATGTGAAGATTTAGCCGCCGGCCATTAGGCTATATGAGAGCGGTCAACGTGAATGGATGGCTTTATACAAGGAGCAGCATAAATATATAATAGCAGCAAGTTTATTTTTTCAATTCTTTGATCACACTTATACGTGTGGGTGGCTTTTAATTGGCCTCTTTGTGATTTCAATTGGTCTAATAACCATTAAAAAAGTAGTACAAAACTACATTTTTCAATGGTTAGTAGTTTTGTACTACTCTTTTCAATGGTTAGTTAGGTAAAATATCAGATATTTTAGAATGAATTTAAATCATCATCATCAATAACATCGCAGTTCTATTATCGCACCTCACATCGTATCAACTATAATATACAAATAAGATAAATTGAGACAAGGACACGTTTTCGGATGACTTACTGAAAAGCGTGATTAAATGAGCTTTCTAAAAATGAGATAAGCTCCGCTTTCTGGACCAATACGACTAAAGGAGTTTTGAGAAGAAAGGCTATTCCCTTCTAAAACGCTGGAACCGCATTCGTAACTTCTCTAGTTTTGCGCGCGTCAATGGGTGGCTGTGATCTTTAACGATCAGGTGACCCGTTTGGTCAATGACCTTCATTTCCATACACGTCTTTGCTTCATTATCAACATCATCATCATCACCATCAATCGGAAAACGTCCACTGTTGAACAAAACACAACAAATGATACCTTGTAATTAGCATCCGACAGTCGACCGCGATTTTTACCATCTTTTTTTACCCACCACTAATTTAAAACACGAGACTCATTCATAAGCATGCCTCAATATTCCTTTATAATAAAAATTTAATTTCTCACTTATACATCGAACGGTTCACGGAACCACGTCCAGTGGTTGAGTTATCGCGATCACGGCTCTTTGAAGCGCGCGCCCCGGGCCACTCGGAACTACGCACGGATTCCTTGCAAGTTATTCTCGAGCCAGTTGGATATAAATAGGAAACAAACCCCAAAGTAATGGACAGTTACCATCCCTATTTTGTTTCAATTTTAAAGAAGCTACACTTTAAAAAGGCGGTTAAAAGATATCCGTATTACATTGAGCTAGAAATTTGACTGAATAACCCTAATACATACTGGTTTCCAATAAACGGTGATTCTCGTTACGTTTTATTGGAAAATAAGAAAGAATAACAGTTTTACAATATCAAACTCTCCATTATAACTGCATACGTATAGTGGATATACGGTAGCAGCAAACAATGTGAAATGCTAATAAAGGGACAAAGAGTTGAATTCATAAAGTGTGATTATTAAAGAGCCAGTCCGCAGTTATTGTTGAGCCAACAGTTTCACGGTGGTGCACTCGACGGTAATGGATTTGGTGGAAATTAATTACTTTCTCCGCTCCACGTGGATTTACTCGTGTTTCTAGAATAAAAACTTTTGGTGTGTAAAATTCAAACTGTGGCGTATCCTAATTTGGATTTTACGCTCTCGGATTTAAAGCTCCGTTTGCAATGTAATTAACCAACGTGTTCTGATCGAGACCTTACTATTGTTCTCGTGTGATTGTTTTATGCTTTTTATTAAGCTGCCATTGTTCAGTCTAACGCTTGATAAGAATCCTCGGTTCGTCCCAAAAGTCGATCGATTTAATTATCTTCATACCAAGTTGTGTTTTCTATTTAATCTTTGTTAATTTTTCAATGGCATAATGCCGATAGCTTAAAAAAATAATCATCTAGTGTTTACATGAGACCATTTACAGATTTATCGCGTTTGTTTTGAATTTATTTCCTCACTTTTCGAAGTCGGTGCAGCATTTGCGGTAAAAAAAAACAGTTCTGTGCATTTAGTAGTGTGTAGTAATCGCGTAAAAAAATTGGTATAGTGTTTAAGCTACTTGGATGGCCAAGCCACCTATATCGACGGTGGATGCAGTAAATATTGATTTTTTTTATGGAAAAGGGGGGCAAAGAGGCATTATTAATTAGAACTACTCAGTGATCGAAATTTCGACTTAAAATTAATTATACATGATAGTGTATGTAATGTTTTTTTTTTTTATTGATTTAATGTATTGTTTATGCACAATTAAAAAAATATTAGCATTCTGCACTGATTTTATTGACGGAAAGTGACACGTACGTCCCTACATACGTCCAGCTGATGAGCAAAGGCCTTCCTGTACATAGAGCATTAGAGCATAGTGCGCTACAAGACCCCACTGTGGATTCGCAGATATCACATAACTATCTTCGAAATAATTTTTATTACTATTCCGAAATGCAGGTTCCCACGACGTTGAATATAATGAACTGCAGATGAAAATAACTTTAGTTATTGAATGATAGCCAAATATAAGTAAAAAAAGATTAAGGTCTAATCGTTTGTCAATTCAATATGATAAATACGAGGAGAATATTGTAAATGGGTTGCTTATGAGTAATCTTAGAAGTTGATGAAAAATCTGAGAATTTTAAATTATTTATGGGGTCTATTTTAAGACTTTTACAAGAACGAATAAGAATAAACGCATACTATGACCATCGAATATTGTAACTACAGTGAAATGCGTAACAGTCCTTTCAATTTATAACGCAGATTGAGTCAGAGAAAAACAGGGAAAGAGGATATGGTATAGAAGAGGTTATAAAATGTATGTCATTTATTAAAATAATTTTCATTAATAATTGTACCTGATAATGTGACTGATAAAAAATTACGTAAAAAGTACCTGTTGCCGATGAACATACGGATGTTTCATCTCATCTCATCATCTTTAAAAAATTCCCTTACTTTAGGATAACGTTATCCTGTGTTGTTTTGCAAACAAACTTCACGCGGACAGTCACCCAGATGCAAAACAATTACACAAAAAGTTGTCCCGTATGGGAATCAAACCCATGACCCCCGACGCCGAAAGCAATATCTTGGCAACTACGCTACGGAGTCATCATAATAAAACGGATGTGGAAGGCGCAATGTATCATCTTGCAATCATTATTGATTTAATAGAGTACTTTAATGCAAAACTGTATACTTATGTGCAAGTTTGAATAATTGGTGTGAGGTGCGTGATCTGTAGAATGAAAACGATCAAACTACCTTATCTTGAAAAGGTTAATTGATAGTTCAATATTAAAATAATGCTGTTCAGTTACAAGATACTGTTCATAATGGAGAGTGTAGTTTTGTTTCATGATCTCAAGACGAGTATCAATACCCAAAGCTTACTCGTTTTCCGAACTGTACCAATTTTCGTATACGATCACATTAAATTCGTGAATTTACCGATATATTATGACCAAAATTCCCCGGATGACGTGGTGTATTCATGCAACTGATAAAGTTGTCGTTGCTCTAACACGTAGGAAATTCGATTAAAATTAGATCAATTCAGCAAAATATTACTATAATTATAAGATATAGTCGGCAGGGCTTGTAGGTAGGATACCGATATGCGGAATCGCGTGCAAGTCACCGCCCACTCAAGATCGCGTGACACGCGTAAACCCTAGTAGCGACTCAATCGGATTCCTGTTCTGGAGTGCACGCGACCGCGGCCAACACTATTACCCATAAATTCAGTCCTATACAACTACCGCTTTGTTCTAGCACCTGAAAGGAATAACACTATAACTGATTTGTAATAGGCAATAGTAGAACGCATAGAATATTGTTTTTTTTTTTTTAATAGTGAACGTATTTTCGTACTGAGAAGAGTTTGTGCAAAATTATCACTCATTATATATAAATTCGCTACAAGAGCTAAATTATCTATTGTTCTCATCCAAATCTAGATAGGAATAACGTTATGACTGGGCTTAGACATTTCAGGCGTAAAAATGCAAATTATGGTTACTCGTTCGTAATAAATTCCGTGTATTGTGAATTTTCTAGTTTGTATTTTTTAGCCGTCATTGGAAAGATAAAAAAAAATACCCATTCTTTACTTTTACGTATAGCAATTTTGACACTTCAGGCTAAGGCGCGGAAGGAAAATTCTCTTATATTTCCTATGTCTTGATGGGGCATCCAATCACGATATGATTGTAACTTTAAATCCCTTGGAGCTAAGTTACGCCCTTATTCGTTACAGGTGTCGGTTTGTGAGCTACGTTCCAAATATTGGCGGGGCTTGCGGCATTTTGCGCTGCGTACTGCAATTCAATTTCTAGTTTGTTTCGGGACGTGTTTGTTTTTCCATTTCGCTCACTTGCTGGTGATTTGCATCGTGTAGGCGTAGGATGAATTGGTCCGTGTTGCTCTGTGGTTATACATTGAATAATAAAACA